CATTTTATATGATCACAAATCAATTTAAATTAGGTAAATAGTTGACATAAATTAGCCTTATAAAAAATAAAATAATGAGACTATGCAACTATCTCAATTTTACACTGTTCACATTTAATATAGTAGGATCCAACTTCATATCTGTCTTCTATACCATTATCATTATCATGATCTAACTTGCATAGCAGGCATAAAGATTCATCAGTAATTCCATAATAATTGTTGTTTCTATCACTACCTTCTTAATATAAATTAGGATATTGATCCAACATTTTGTTGCGAAAATAGGATTGGTCATAAGTTGGATTAGCTGGAGTATTTACCTTAGTCTTCAGTAAAGATTTGTTATCCTCACTTATTATATCTTCTAAGCTAGGAGTATGGGATGATTCATTAGATATACTTGCCTTAATATTTAATATGTCTTTTAAGCTAGATGGTTTAGTTACATATGCATTACAATTTGTAATACTGATCATTTCTTGATATTTAATGGAAGAATCATCTATATTTGAATTTTTAGGAAAACAGTTTATAATATCTTGAATCTGATTGTCAGTTAGATTTGAAATTGCACTTGCACTATATATTATTGCTTGAACTTTTTCTAGTCCTATTCCTATAAGTAGCATATAAATTTTTTTCGTTCTAAATGTTTTTTAATGCAAATTTACATCACTGACATTTGGAAGAAATGCTTTTATTTTATTATATACCAATGTTCTTGCTAATTGGTCATTAATTTTATTTATACATTTAATGTTCTTAACTTGATTCTCATATGCTTTATAGTAGCAATACTAGCATAAAATCTCTTTTTGTCTAACTTTCATTGCTATAATAAACAAATCAGCTATATTTTGTGCTATAATTTTGCTAGATCCTGTTATGATTGCTTCTAATAAAAATTTGGGAATTTGTATATCAAATACTTCACTAACTTTATTATTATTATCTTTAATGAACAAAAATAAATTATGTCTTAAGTCTTGCTTGACTTTTTTATTATATAGAATTTTTACTTCAGTATTTTGTGCTTGATCAATAACCAGATTACTTTATTTTGTATATCAGAAGCATTTTGTACTGATCCTTAACTCTGAAGTTTCTTTTTCTAATTTCTTTCTCTTATTTTATTACTGTTTTCTTTATACACTCGATCTAAAAATTTTTTGATCTCTTTATCTTTTGAAGATTTAGTTTTTATGCAAATTGATACAGAGCATTGAGTCACTGTTTTCTGACATATATCAAAATTTGAAGTGGTATCAGATACATTTTAGATATATTTAAAAAAACACTATCAGGTTCATCAGAATTTGAAGTATTATCAGTTATATCAGATATAGAAGTATTATCATATTGTGAGTTTATTTGTTTAAAGTTACTCTCAGAGTTTATTTCACAGGAAGCATTGATATTAGCTGAATATTGTTTTTCTAGAATGAGTATACTTATCTGTTTAATTTTCTCAATATCGTTGTCTAATTTAGCAATATGTTTTTATTACAATTATATGTTTGAATTTGTTTCAATTTCGTAACTTTATCTTTAAGCTTAATATTTTTAGCAGTAAGGTTGGTAGTATCTGCTTTATTTTTTTTCTAGCTCTTTGAATCAGTTTTTAGTACTGCATATTCTTTAAAAGATTGTTTTATTTATATTTTTAGTTTCAGCCTCTGTGAACTTTTTTCTAAGTTCATTAATCTGAAAAACAAGTCTGAAATTTAATTCTCTTAATAATTCTATTGTAAGTTGTGTATCTATCATTATTTTTATTTAAGATATAAGTATATTTAATTCATCATAGAGATAAAAGTCATATATACATTACAATTTGTAATGCAGATGCCAAAAAAATTTTTAAAAATTATCAATCATATGCAAGTACCATATTTATGTGTAATAACGCACATATGCATTATTTCAAAATTATTACTTTTTTAAAAATCACCTATTTGACTCAAAATAACGCACATATATATCCTGAAATAATGCACTTCTAAGAGTTTGCATAATAAGTATAAGTATAGAGCATATGTCTATTAAATTATTAGCAATATTGATCCAAAATAACACATATATGCGTCCCAAAATAACACACAGATACTCAAAATAATGCACAGGTGTGTATTACTACATGAAAATATAGTAATGTATATCGATAATTATACAATAAAATAAATTCATATAAAAGTAAACTGATTATGTATACAAAATTTGGCTACTAGAGCCAGCTTTATAATATAAAACAAAAATAAAACAATTTACAGGAATAAAATTATTTTTTTCTCAATTCTCTGCTTTTTTTCTTTTTTAATCTCTTATATGAAAGGCTTCTTTCACTTAGCTTTCTTGTTCTTTGCTTCTTTTCTTTAGATAGTAATTGTACTCTTCTGCTTGGAAGTATATTACATGGTAGGTGTAAAATGGCCTGTTTTAATGCTTGTATAAGCAGACTTTGATTCATAATTAATATATTCTATATTAAAGATTTTAACATTTTTATCAGTTAATAGAATAAAAGTAAGTTAAAACTATACTAAAATCATTATATACTTTTAAAGTTAATAATAGATATATGAGAGGTTCTACTCTCCATAGTGTTTGTGGTATGAGAGAGATTTTTGCATAACATAAATGAAAATAATAGAACAAGCTATCTGCATCATTTACAAGAATATTCAGATATATATTTTCATCAACAATCTAAATTCCTATTATATCAACATTAGGAAATTTTATATATATATTGATTGATAACCTACTAGATATATATTGATAATAATCACCCCTGCTAAGTTAAATCAATTATAGTATATAACGATATATAACCGATTTAAGGCAATCAATATAAATTGATATGGATATCAATTGATATATAACAAGTTTAAATAATAAGTTTTTTTTAATGATACTAAAAATACTATATAGTGCAAAACGAAATTTATATAATACGTAATTTTTATTTTTTTTTATTATTTTTTTTTTTAACTAGTCTTTGACATAAGGATTTTTATTCAAGTATAATGGGCAGAGAGCTTACAATGGAACTCTAATTATATTAGAAAGTACAACTAGCCACATGTGTTCCTTTTGAGCATTTATTTAAGTAGTCCACGTATAGATAACTGTATACCATAGGTTCTACACTAGCTGCTATACTTATAATCCGACTAGAGGATTACCTATTTAAACCCTCTGTAATATACACTGCCTCCTTGTGTTACCAGAACACTCTGTTACATTTTATATGATCACAAATCAATTTAAATTAGGTAAATAGTTGACATAAATTAGCCTTATAAAAAATAAAATAATG